CGTAGGTCGCTTAAATGATTTAAGATGATTTGGCAGATCCTGGATCTGTTTATCTTGATAACTTATCTCTCGCTAATTTGGTTCTTCAAACAAGTTCGCGAATCAGATTAGAATGTCTGGATGAACTGATCTGAGATCGCTGCGTGTGTTGTGGAGGACAGATCTATCCATCCTCCAAATCATGATCAGCAATGCAACGATTGGCTGACGGCACAGCAGCGTAATGACATCATCTGATTAATATTCAATTATTCATGTGAGCGAAATTACATCAAATTAGCAGTAAACAGTGTGTTAAATATGACACGCAATAACTGTACACCTTGTTGTGAGCTGTACTGATTACAGTAGCCGTTTTATTTTATTAGTTTAAAAAATAACTTGATTACAAAAGCATTTTGATGTTGGTAAAGGTGTCTGCAACTTTTATGAAGTATCAAATCACCGTCAACAGTCAAAACGTGTTTATGACTGCATAAGTGTTTTATTGCTTTTAAAAAAAAGTCACATATTGTGCATTTCTATTATACACAATTTGTACTAAAGCGATCTAAAAAAGTTCATATCAATAAGTTTTCTCTTTGCACCACCAGATGGCAGTCTTTGTACTTTCATTTCGGAGGTGCAGATTGCATACGTTTTATTAATATATAACTTTATTTATTTTATTAATAACTATAACTTATATATATATATATATATATATATATATATATATATATATAGTTAGAAAATATTTACCATTTTCCCAAGTGTATATAACTACTACTATAAGAAAATATCAGACTTCGGCACATACTATCTTAGCTTGAACTGACCCGATCTAATCCTGTTTATATGAATTGAACCTGCTCCCGACCAGGTTTGAGCTAGCAGAACTGTTACTATGACAACAACTCTCAGATCAGTTTTGAAGAACGAAACGATCCTAGATCACGTCAAATCGTCAATATCCAAATCCAGCTAACTGAGTAATCCAAGTACGAAGAACGGACCCCTGGTTAACAGTCTGCGCAAAATCCAAAACAATAATGTTTATTTTAGCTCACATTGTTGTTGTTAAGGTGAATGATTAATAAACGCAAGTTAATCCACTGAACAGACAGTTTGCTTTAGTAATCTTATATCAGAGTCTGACAGACTGCTTTTGTGTTTGGGCGTTGGCTCTTCTGTTGACGTCAACTTGAGGGTTTCCATACAACTTCATATTAACATTCTTAACCGCGCCCCGCTTACCATTAGCTTGCTATTCGGGAATGATGAACAGAAAATCAGCAATATACAATTTATATATTAAGGATGCACTGATACCAATTTTTTGGAACACATCCAATCAACATACCAAAATGGTATCCGATGGTAATCCGATACAGTGCCGTTTGTTTTTTCAGAGGCATAACAAACGTTTTCGTCACAGTTTTTGTCATTTCAGACAGACTTATATTTAGTTTCCGCATCAGTAAAACACAAAAATCATTGATGAATAATATGATGAAGATTCTGATGATCGGTGGGTGATTGAGCTGTGGTCACCTGCGGGACGTCCAGGATGATGTTGGAGGTGCAGATGTTGGTGATGGTGTTGTTGTTGGGCGCGTGCACCGGGATGCGGGAGGAGCGATGCTGCGGTGTCGGAGGAGGAGCAGCTGGAGGAGCAGCTGGTGGAGGAGATGGAGGAGCGTCCAACACCTCTATAGTCGGCTGAGGAGAAACAAAACAACAGTGAACAGCTGACACCACTAGGGCTGTGCAATATGATGATGCACACACAGCTGGAGTCAGAATTACTCGGTAATACTCCTCCTCTATTCTTTTCCTTGAATATTCAGGATTTATAATATTATTTATGATTCCCTTAATATAGTGAGATTAAATACAGGGAGTGTGTACTGCACCTGAGAGAGCTGCTCAGCTTTATACGCCGCCAGGGCCTTCAGATACTCCGTCTTGGCTGCTTCTGCCTTCCTCTTATACACCTGAGGAAACATCACATCTCAGTCCATCTTCAGGCATTCACTTCATTACTTTTGTATATGACAATTCAGCTGTGTGTTCGAGTAAATCTGCATCTGTGATTATCAGTAAATGTTTTAAACTCATGAGATTAGTTTTATTCAGTGTTATCATCAGCACACACTGAAGAGCCTTTCACACAGAGCACGATAACAACACATATTTAGCTGACCTGTGAATCCAGCTCGTGTAATCTATTCAAATCTAATCAAACAGTGAATTTAGCGATCACTGTCGGTGTAGGGCAGGGGTGTAAAAATTCGTCTCCTGTAGATTTTAGCTCCAGCTTGCCCCAACACACCTGCAAGGATGTTTCTAGAAAGCCCAAAAGCTTGATAAGCTAGCCCAGGTGTGTCTGATTGGGGTTGGAACTAAACTTTGCAGGACACCGGCCCTTAAGGGCCCAATTTGGACATGCCTGGTGTAGGGGAATAAAACCAACACTAATTATTTTCCACATCATTTATAAAGGAGGTTGAAACTAGCACTGGATACACTGGACTTTCTTTCTTTCTTTCTTTCTTTCTTTCTTTCTTTCTTTCTTTCTTTATTTATTTATTTATTTATTTATTTATTTATTTATTTATGCATTTATGCATTTATTTATGCATTTATTTATGCATTGATTGATTTATTTATTTATTTATGCATTGATTTATGCATTTATTTATTTATGCATTTATTTTATATGCATTTATTTATTTTAAAATATTTATTTATTTTATTTTATAACTTTTTTAAATTGTTTTCTTTTATTATTGTTTTCATGATTACTTTTCTGTTTTACTATCTTTCTTTAAGCAGTGTATTTATTTATTTATTTAGTTTGTTGAAGTGGGTTTATATATAAAAAATAAATAAATCACTGTATAAATAAAACTGTGTAAAATAAAGGGGGAAAAAAAGCACTTTTGAATGTTTTTTTTTACTTTCGATTTTCTGATTATGTGTATATTGATTTTATTCTAGCTGAAATAAAAACCAACAAGGCTTTCTCCAGAAGAACAAATAGAGAAAATACTGTGAAAATTTCCTAAATCTGTTCAACATGATTTGGCAAATACTTGACAAAGAAATTTACAAGAGGGTGAATAATTCTGACTTTAACTCGTGCATTGGTCACCTGCTTCTGCTCCTCCCCCAGACTGTCCCACATGGAGGCCACGATCTTGGACACCTCCCCGAAGGTGGCGTTGGGGTTCTGGCCTTTGATGGCGGCCTGTGTGTCCCGGAAGAAGAGCGCATATGCGGAGACAGGCTTCTGCGGCTCATTCGGGTCCTTCTTCTTACGGCCCTTCTTCCCCCCTGCTGGTTTGCGGACAGGAACAGCAGAGCTTGCTGGGAAAACTGGCTGATCCGGCAGAGATGGAGAGACCGAGAGAACTGCAGACGACACGGAGAGAGAGACCGGAGAGTCCACCAGCACACTCTACTGACACACAGACACACAGAGAGAGACACACACATACACACATATATAGAGTGAGAGAGAGAGAGAGAGAGAGAGAGAGAGAGACACACACACACAAACACACAGAGAGAGACAGAGAGAGAGAGAGAGATCAGAATCATAACTTCAGAATATTGTATATCTGTAGAATCACTTCGTGAGATTGTTTAAAATGGTGGTCAAACTATTTAAATTAAATTATATTTAATTAATATTTTATGATAGTTGTGATTTTGCGAACATCTTAACTTTGTAAGATTCCTGCTAATTGTTCCAGTTCGACATGCTACTAAATACTAACATTTTTGCTCGATCATAGTTTAAATAAAAGCGCACCCGTCTGAAGTCGTCCATGTCATCATCGTGTAGCGAATCAGATGGCGAGCCGGTGGCTGACATCGATTGTTCGGGAGACTGTGAATGGGGCAGGATGGCTCCACCCCCCAGATTGAGGCCAAGCTGTGCGCTGAGCTCCGATTGGTCGATGGTGGTCAGCTGATTGTGTCCCAAGAGGCTGTGGTTCATGTCGCTTAGTGGGACGTCGATGGTCATTGGAGAAGAGCTGCTGAACTGAGAACCAATCGGGTGGCCGAGGTCCTGCAACCAGGAATACGAATTAGTAAAACACAAATCATGACGGTAACAGAGTTGACGGTAACAGAGATGACGTTAAGTGTTGACAGTAGCAGAGATTACGGTAACAAAGTTGACGATAACAGAGTTGAAGGTAACAAAGATAGCGGTAACAGAGTTGACCGTAACAAAGTTGATGACGGTAAGAGTTGACAGTAACAGAGTTGGCGGTAACAGTTGACGATAACACAGCAGACGGTAACAGAGATGACTGTAACAGCGATGGCGGTAACAGAGTTGACGGTAACATATGGCGATAACAAAGATGATGGTAACAGAATTGACTGTAACAGAGATTATGGTAACAGATGGCGATAAAAGAGTTGACGATAACAGAGTTGACGATAACAGAGTTGACAGTAACACAGATGGCGATAATAGAGTCAATAGTAACACAAATGGCGATAACAGAAACGACAGTAATAGATGGCGATAACGGAGTTGATGGTAACACAAATGCCGATAACAGAGTCGACAGTAACACAGATAGCGATAACAGAGTCGAGGGTATCTGAGATGATGTTAATAGAGTCGACAGTAACAGATGGCGATAACAGAGTCAACGGTAACACAAATGGCGATAAGTCGACGGTAACAGATGGCGATAACGGAGTTGATGGTAACACAGATGGCGATAACAGAGTCGACGATAACAGATGGCGATAACAGAGTCAACGGTAACACAGATGGCGATAACAGAGTCGACGATAACAGATGGCGATAACGGAGTTGATGGTAACACAAATGCCAATAACAGAGTCGACAGTAACACAAATGGCGATAACAGAGTCAACGGTAACACAGATGGCGATAACAGAGTCGACGATAACAAATGGCGATAACGGAGTTGATGGTAACACAAATGCCGATAACAGAGTCGACAGTAACACAGATAGCGATAACAGAGTCGAGGGTATCTGAGATGATGGTAATAGAGTCGACAGTAACAAATGGCGATAACAGAGTCAACGGTAAACAAATGGCGATAAGTCGACGGTAACAGATGGCGATAACAGAGTCAACGGTAACACAAATGGCGATAAGTCGACGGTAACAGATGGCGATAACGGAGTTGATGGTAACACAGATGGCGATAACAGAGTCGACAGTAACACAGATAGCGATAACAGAGTTGATGGTAACACAGACGGCGATAACAGAGTCGACAGTAACAGATGGCGATAACAGAGTCGACGGTAACAGATGGCGATAATAGAGTCGACGGTAACACAGATAGCGATAACAGAGTCAACGGTAACACAGATGGCGATAACAGAGTCAACGGTAACACAGACGGCGATAACAAGGTCGACAGTAACAGATGGCGATAACGGAGTTGATGGTAACACAGATGGCGATAACAGAGTCGACGGTAACAGATGGCGATAACAGACTTGATGGTAACACAGATGGCGATAACAGAGTCAATGGTAACACAAATGGCGATAACAGAGTCGACTAACAGATGGCGATAACAGAGTCGACAGTAACACAGATAGCGATAACAGAGTTGATGGTGACATAGATGGCGATAACAGAGTCGACAGTAACAGATGGCGATAACAGAGTCGACGGTAACAGATGGCGATAACAGAGTCAACGGTAACAGATGGCGATAACAGAGTCGACAGTAACACAGATAGCGATAACAGTGTCAACGGTAACACAAATGGCGATAACAGAGTCGACTGTAACAGATAGCGATAACAGAGTCGACAGTAACACAGACGGCGATAACAAGGTCGACAGTAACAGATGGCGATAACAGAGTCGACGGTAACAGATGGCGATAACAGAGTCAACGGTAACACAGACGGCGATAACAAGGTCGACAGTAACAGATGGCGATAACGGAGTTGATGGTAACACAGATGGCGATAACAGAGTCAACGGTAACAGATGGCGATAACAGAGTCAACGGTAACAGATGGCGATAACGGACTTGATGGTAACACAGATGGCGATAACAGAGTCAACGGTAACAGATGGCGATAACGGACTTGATGGTAACAGATGGCGATAACAGAGTCAACGGTAACACAAATGGCGATAACAGAGTCGACTGTAACAGATGGCGATAACAGAGTCGACAGTAACAGATGGCGATAACAGAGTCGACAGTAACAGATGGCGATAATAGAGTCGACAGTAACACAGATAGCGATAACAGAGTCAACGGTAACACAGATGGCGATAACAAGGTCGACAGTAACAGATGGCGATAACGGAGTTGATGGTAACACAGATGGCGATAACAGAGTCGAGGGTATCTGAGATGATGGTAATAGAGTCGACAGTAACAGATGGCGATAACAGAGTCGACGGTAACAGATGGCGATAATAGAGTCGACGGTAACACAAACGGCGATAACAAGGTCGACAGTAACAGATGGCGATAACGGAGTTGATGGTAACACAGATAGCGATACCAGTCAACTGTAATCCAGATGGCTATAACAGAGTCGAGGGTATCTGAGATGATGGTAATAGAGTTGACGGTAACAGAGATGGTGATACCAGAGTTGACAATAGCAAAAATGTGGATTCATTTGTAATTAAGCATAAAAAGTAAAAAAAAATGTATTGAATTAGTAGTATAGTAATATGTAATACAGTAATTTGCAGTATGGTCATTTGTTATAGTATTTTGTAGTTTAGTAATTTTCAGCAGAGTAACAGAGTGTGCAGTCACCAGTGTGGAGGTGAGCAGGGGGCCGCCGCTCTGCTGGCCCATCAGACTCAGGTGCTGCAGGGTTTGTGACGGAGCGCTGATGAAGGTGGAGGCGAAGGATGGGTCGTTTCCTCCGACCACAGCGTCTGCAGACACACCGGGGGACGAGCCGCCGTCCGCCAGATCCCCGAAATGAGAAACCACATCCGACACGCTCAGAGCCGAGTCCGGGTCCAGGGAGATCGGCGGGATCTCGAACTCCTCATCGCCCAGACTCGGCGTGTGAAACGTCTGCAGACACACCAGAGGTTAACTCAGCAGTGCGTGTCAGTGTTTGTATGAGTGTGTATTCTGACTGGGTGCATGTGTTTAAGTGGGTGTGTGTCTGAGTGAGTGTGTTTGTGTGTCTTAGCGAGATGTGTTTGAGAGTAGGTGTGTGTTTGCGAGTATGTTTTGAATAAGTGTGTGTCTATGTGTCTGAGTTAGTATGCGTTTTTGTTTGTCTGAGTGAGTGTGTGTGTGTGTCTGTGCGTGTCTGTGTGCCTGAAGGAATGTGTTTGTGAGCATGTGTGTTTGTGTGTGCAAGTCTCTGACTGTGTGTATGTGTGTCTGACTGAGTGTGCATGTCTGAATGAGTGAGTGAGTGTGTGTGTGTGTGTGTGTGTGTATGTATGTGTGCGAGTGTTTGCAAGTGTGTCTACATGTGTGTGCTTTTGAGTTTGTGAGCATGAGTGTGTGCGAGTCTGAATGAGTGTGATAGTTTTGTTATTAGTACATATCTGTGTGTGAATGTTTGTCTGTATGTGTGTGCGCGCGTGTGTTTGTGAGTGAATGTTTGTTTTATTGTTAGTATGTATCTGTGTGTGTCTCTATGTGTGTGCGTGTCTCTGTCTGTACGTGTGTGTGAATGTGTGTTTGCATGTCTGAGTGAGTGTGTTTGTGAGCATGTTTGTCTATAAACGTGTGTGTGTGTGTGTGTGTGTGTGTGTGTGTGTGTGTGTGTGTGTGTGTGTGTGTGTGTTTGAGTTTGTGTGTGTGTTCAGCCGCACCTCTGAGGAGGACAGGAAGTGATGACCCTCTCCGCTGATTGACAGGTAGCTGTCATTGGCTCCCGGGAACTGAAACACAAACTCAAAATCAGTCAATATCGCAGAAGAACGTCTCAAATGAATCAGTGTATGCTGATTTACGTAATTTAATGCTTAAACATGAACTTATACAGCGATTTAACCCTATAAAGAACTCTCTAACAGATGAAGGAGCCTCATGTCGTGTGCATCTGACGGGGGAAATAAAGCGCAGTCACGGGGGATTTTCACCTTCTGGACGGCGTCAAATCCGTTAAACGCCTGAGGATCCAGAAACTCCGGTTCACCGGGCTGCCCGGTTCCGTCCGACAGATCCGAGTAAAAATTCAGGTCCATATCGAGCTGTCAGAGAGCAGGAAACACCGACAACTCGCGACTTTGACGGACAGCAGACGGAAAACGTGCGGCGTGACGTCACGAAGGCCGAGACGGGCACGCGCGTTCGACCATCTCGGCGGACTTCAGGCCGGTCGAGCACAAACGAGCAGTGAAAACACTGAAAACCGCAGAAAAACGCAGATCCCGAGCCTCACAATACAGCAGAATCAAGCAGAATCTGATGATCCACAGCAGTGTCCGCACTCAAGCCACTGACAGGACAACTCGCGCGCGCGCGCGCGCGCAGACCATCCTATACGAGCAAACACAACAACACTTGAGCACTAATGTTTACAAACACGCGGATATAATGATGTATGGTAATAAAATAATATGTAATAGTGATAATAATCACACGCGCTCACAGCTGACGCGCTCGCCGTTTACAGCTGATCTCAGCAGTGCAGACCAGACAGGAGCAATCGAGCTGGAGAACCCGATGCCAGACTTCAGGGGGTCCCACATAATACTGCATCCTAAACGACCGCTATGTTCATGTCCTGTCAATCATCTCCAAACATCATCCACAATTCTTTCATACTTGATTTATCACAATATTGTAGACTCATCTGTGTGTTAATCTGTCATGCGTGAGTCTTTCATACAGAGAAATCTCCTCAGGTGTTTAGATCATTCATTCAGAAGTCCAAACACGTCTTTATATAAGTTCACATTGTGTGGCAGATGAAATATAACAGGGAAATGTGATTTTAATATTTAATATATATGCCAGATATTAATTAATAGTCATTCAAACATCTTTACTGAAGCCTCTCTACTTGACGATTGGTCTCGCGCGTCCGCCATGTTTGTAGTTTGTTTACACTTTTTACCCGCATCTGTAGTTCTAATCGAGGTTTGCAGCATACTAACGCTATTTTCCAATACTATTCAGGATGTATACTATGTATACAGCTGAAATATTTTATTTAATTATTCATTTGTTATTAATTTACATCAATAATTAAGCACAAATACTTAATACTAGGATAAAGTACAGTAAAAATCTACATTACACGTAATTAACAGGTAAAATATGTAGAGAAATGACACTTGCAACAAAAATTAATATACTATTTTGTTACATAATATAAATATCAGTATTGGGTTAAAACATAATTTTAAGATTCACAATTTTAGGCCCATCTTTCTCTTAAAAATAACTCAAAATAACTAGATGACGGAAATAACTAAATAACAAAGGTAAAAGATTTAGTTACATTTTTAAGTGACTTACGAGTGTAATATATAACTTTTTCACCCAATAATACTGATAAATATTATGATATTATAATGAGGTTTGTTTTTTACTTTACTTACATTTATGGATATGCAACTTTGCATTAAATTAATAATGTATTACTCATTTTCTTTATTATTAATACAGCAATATTAATATATATTTAAGGGAATATCAACCTAATAAAACCAAATAATTAATACATGTTCTAAACACAAAGGGTCATTACTATTAATTATATACACATTAAGCGGCCACTTTATTAGGTACACCTGTCTAACTGCTCGTTAACGCATATTCTAATCAGCGAATCACATGACAGCAGCTCATTGCATTTAGGCATGTAGACATGGTCAAGACCATCTGCTGCAGGTCAAAGCGAGCATCAGAATGGGGAAGAAAGGAGATTTAAGAGACTTTGAACGTGGCATGGTTGTTGCTGCCAGACGGGCTGCTCTGAGTATTTCAGAAACTGCTGATCTACTAGGATTTTCACGCACAACCATCTCTAGGGTTTACAGAGAATGCTCCGACAAAGAGGAAATATCCAGTGAGCGGCAGTTCTGTGGGCAAAAATGCCTTGTTGATGCCAGAGGTTTATTAAAAATAATAGTTTTATTAAAATTAATTTTACTCTAAGACATGGACGCAAGCTTAAATGCTATTTAAAGGGACAGCACACATTTAAAAATGAACAAATACCTACTTTTAAGTGGATTCAACACCATTTGTGCGTTTATTTTCACTATTAGACACAAAGTAAGATATTTTGAAGAATGTCTGAAACCAGTTACTAGGCCTGTTACGATATCTATATTATAATATAATGCACCAAAATATATTGCAATAAACTATATTATTGTCATTTTAAGACCACCACTCACTATGTAGTGCCAGAATGACAATCTAATAATGCAAAAAGAGCACATCAAATTCTATTCTTAAAAATATTAGATTTAATTATAGTCATGTTAACAGTTTAATAATCAGCCACTGGAGTCAGAATGTGAAAAGGCATGAACAAAATGAATTATAATTAATATGTTAACAGAAAAGTGCAAGGTAAAGAGTAACAGAGGCTGCGACATCCGCTATCAGATCTATTTTCAACTGTCAGACAGCCACATGAGAATATACTATAGTAATATACAGTAAATACTACAGTGTTTATTAACCACACTGACACTGATAACTCCAATAGAGATCGAGATGTTGCAGCTTTAATGATGCTTGAATTGGTTTTTATGTATGGGTAATATATATTGCATCACCAGAAATGATTAAGATCATGTCCATGTGGTGTTCGATAAGTCCATATATTAATAATTATTACCAGTAACCGTTGACACCAAGGACACCATCATTGACACCGAGGTAAAGTTAGTTTGACGTTTGACATTCATTAGACATTCGATTTTAAACCAATCAAATTCTTTGCTCCTGTTATAGTTTGGGCCATAAATATGTCAGATGGACATAAATGTGTGCCTTTTATGCTGATCAAAGCTTAATTTCTTGCTTAAATTGTAATTAATCATTAATCATAATTATACAATAAAACCAGGAACAAAAAACCAGGAACAAAATGTTCAGAAAAACATCCTGGTTATTGCACAAGACTCTGTTTATTTATTTTTAATTATATTGTAAATCACTTTTATTGTTAAAATGGTAAAAGTCAATTAACCTCCGACATCATTTGGGATAAAATATTCAAATCAACTCTAAAAAAATGTCTAAATATTATTCTCTATGATGCACAAGATTTGTTTTTTACAGTTTTGCCTTTGTTGTTTTTATATACAGTACTAAATCTGTATTTTTATTAAGTTGAACACACTGTAAACACTTAAATGAATTAAACTCTGACACCATTTGAGATAAAATGTTCAAATCAACTCTAAAATTGTCTAAATATTATTCTCTATGATGTACAAGATTTGATCTTTACAGTTTTGCCTTTGTTGTTTTTATATACAGTACTAAATCTGTATTTTTATTAAGTTGAACACACTGTAAACACTTAAATGAATAACACTAAGACACCATTTAAGATAAAATGTTCAAATCAACTCTAAAATTGTCTAAATATTATTTTCTATGATGCACAAGTTTTGTTTTTTGCAGTTTAGCTTTTGTGGATTTTATATATAGTAATACAATCATATTTTCAATATATATATGATACACTGTAAACACTTAAATTCATTAAACTCTGACATTATTTGAGGTAAAATATTCAAATCAACTCTAAAATTGTCTAAATATTATTCTCTATGATGCACAAGATTTGAAGTTTACAGTTTTGCCTTTGTTGTTTTTATATACAGTACTAAATCTGTATTTTTATTAAGTTGAACACACTGTAAACACTTAAATGAATAACACTAAGACACCATTTAAGATAAAATGTTCAAATCAACTCTAAAATTGTCTAAATGTTATTCTCTATGATGCACAAGCTTTGTTTTTTACAGTTATGCCTTTGTTGATTTTATATACAGTACTAAATCCATATTTTCAGTATATCGGATACACTTTCAACCCTAAAATGAATTAAACCCTGACACCATTTGAGGTAAAATATTCAAATCAACTCTAAAATTGTCTAAATATTATTCTCTATGATGCACAAGCTTTGTGTTTTACAGTTATTCACATTGATGACAGTCTTCATTTTTGGTGGTGACCTGTGCCTTTAATAAGTAACTGGCCACCCCTACAACCGACAGTGGTATGCGCCGTGGCCCTTTAAAGAGATTAAAGGCGCTCCGTGCTCCACATCTGATCTGTAATGAGTCCTGAATCTCTCAGATGCTGTTATAAATGCAGTTTAAACGTTTTACTCGTTTAATAAATGATGATATATTAAAATATGAGAGAAGCGCGTGTATGACAGCGGCGCTATGTGTTTAAATGAACGGTGTCACGTGAGTTTGAGGAGTTTAAAGAAGCAGCGCGCTGTATATATTTATATATAGATTAATTTAATCACCTGCATAGACATTTACACACCGAGTAAACATGAGACGAGTGTGTGTGTCAGGAGTGTGTTCACACTTATCGAGCTCTACAAACACACACAGTGATCTGCGTCCTCTTACCTCCATACTCCGCGGAATCACAGCTTTATTCTCTCCACCTTTCAGTATTGTTTATGTCCGATTAAAAGCGATTATCCCCGAGAAAACACAAACAAATCACTAATCATGGCTGCGACTTCCGGGTTGGAGACGAACGGACGTGACGCCGTATGAAATCGCGCCCCGGCTCGGTTGTTGCTAGAAGGGATACAGCTTCGGCCTCACGTTGGAACATAATTATTTATATAATTTATTAAATGGCACATCATTTTATTTTATTAATGTCTAATCCTACCCCATCTATAAACGCAACCATCACAGAATTGTAAAAACATAATTATACTGCGTATTATTCATATTATTTATTAACTCACGTGAAATGTAATTGTAATAACGTCTAACCCTGCCCCAGCCCTAAACCTAATCATCACAGTAATGTAAAAATTATTAATTATTGTTGTAGTGAATCACAAATTATGCAATATTGAGGTGAGTATCCGCAGCTGTATCTCATCTAGACTTCACTGACACCCGCGGCAGAGCATAGAATGACCAAGAAGCGACACTCTAGTGCGATTTGGTAAACAGCCAATAGGTGGCGCCATTTTGGAATGAAAATTACAATAGAACAACAGCATATTATAAGTGTGTGGAATAAACAATTAAAAGTGCTGATGATTGCGATAATAAGTGTTGTATATTGTCGTCTTTCAGGTTGTATCTCAGCTTTAATGCACTTTTTAAATAAATAAATAAAAAACAAAGCAGCTGGCAGCCGATCGCTTTCACTCCAAAATGGCGGAATCCGGGGCTGCTGTTGTCGCCTCTTGGTCATTCTCAGCTCTTTGCCCGCGGAAACAATCACCATGGCGACCAGTTTTTTACGAAGACCAGAAGAACGAGGTAAACAGGTAAAGTGAGGTTTTTATTTGAATTCACTGTAATTCATTTTAACCCTTCATACTGTATAGCTTATAGCGTAGTGTTTTTTGTAAAGCGGTTTTCTGTTGTAAATTCTCACTCGTAGCTGTGCTTTTAATCGCCATATGCGTTCATGTTTATAAACCAATTATATAAACAACGATTATATATTGCTTAAATATTCATAAATGTTCCACCTAAAGTTAATTTTAACGTGAAAGTTTGGTGTTTAATTCATTTCAACAGAGAATTCATTATTTAACTGATTTTACCGATTACACTCGCGTTTCCATGGAAATGACGTCACTAATTTGAAGAATGTTCATCAGCCAATCAGAAGCTTTGTTATCTTTATTGTTTATTCGTTCATTTTCTTTTTGGCTTTGAACCGCCAACTTGTCCAGCA